GGCTGGTCTCTCACCTGCTGCCCCATAGCCTGAGCTCCTTGCTCTCCCTCAGCCTCTTCTCCTGCCATCCCTCCCTTCCCAAAGCATTCCCTCGTGCATCCCCTCCAGCAGCTGCCTGCTGCTTCCATACCCCTGAGAGCAACCTTTGGCAAATGTTTTCCCTTCTACCTCACTGTTGTGCAGATACATTGATATTTATGGTTGCTATTTTCTTTTATTATTTAACCTTGGTGTAACTGTATTTTCATGCTTTACTATTAGGTGGCAATCTCGAACCTCCTCCTTGAACAGTATGGTACAGCTACTGCAGATCTTCAAAAGTCCCCAACAGTAGCACCACTAGTTGAAGGTTTGTATGGTGGGACTTGCATGTGGGACACTGCTCCTGGCCCACTGCAGAGTTGTGGAGCTCAGCCACAGCAGAAGGCCCTGAGCTTTCACATACTGTCTCAAGCAAGGTCGCAGGGTTTTTTTGGATAGCTTGGAGGCTTCTAGGCTGCATGTCTCCTGGAGAAACGGGATATAGTGAGGTTAGTTTTGCACACTGAAATGCAACCATTCTACTCTGGCAGTCATCCTCCTTTCCTCATTTCATTCACCTCTTCCATTGCTTTGCAAATCTCAACCTCCGTGTTTTGTAGGCAGGTGGGGAGAAAAAATTGGATTGCGAGCTTGGGTTCTAAGGCAAGTCCATTGCACAAGAAGGACGAAGGTCTTTTAAGCTTTCCTCACAAGCTAGCTTGTGGGAGGCTTTGATGTAATTTCCTTTAATATACTTTTTCTTATCTGAGTATAGAAATGAACAATGTTTAGTCAAAATTTTGTACTTGCATCATTTAAAGATCCCTTCTATCAGCAAGATAATTTGGTTGTCTCTAGAATCTGTCTCCAAGTTTGCTTTAGTTTGAGAAATTGTAGCTTCATGTATGGCAGGTTTAAGATGCAATTTTGTGGAGAAATAATTGAGTAGAGACTTTGCTTTCATAGTAGCAAAGAGCATAAACTAGTCTTTTATAGGATTCAAAAGTTTCTGAAAATGCAAGACTTCTTCCAAGAAAAGTGTGTTTTGTAACACTGCAGATACCTTGGGTTTATTTTGCCTTGTATTTTAAAACACTGCTGTGTCCAAAGATGTGGAAAGGTGTTGGAGAAGGAGAATGCAAAAGTCAAGAGCGATTGGCAAACTCATTTTCCTCTATATAAAACTTGAGCGTTCCAGGTTATGGATGAAACATATTCCTTGTGGAAGGGTTTGTGTACCAGAAATGTTGGGAGCTGTGCGTTGCTGAGCTCTCTCCCAGCTGGCACAAGTTTTTCCACCCAAAGGAAAGGGAAGTTTCAGGTCCATGCTCTTTGCCAACCTCAGCCATCTGTGATGTTTCAGAAGTCCTTACCAGGCGCTGGTGATGTGAAGCATATGGATTCTCTTCTGAGCTTCCAAAGCTTAAGGCACAGCTGCCCTACCTGGCTGAGGGATTTGATTGTAAATTACTGTAGAGTCCTCTGTGGACTTTCCTATTTGTGGTTTAAGAATGAGAACAAGTTTAAGCTAAACCACAGCGAGCCACTCTTAAGTCAGATAAATCTCCACAGAGTGTTTTGCAGTAGATTAACCAAAGCAGCATCTCCAGGGCTTGTCTATAGGCATGGCTGAACTCAAGCTCAAAGACCAGTGTATCCTCTTGGTGCATGCTGGAGTGATTTCTTCTGGCCCAGTGCTGTAAATTGTTCCCCATACCAGCAGCTTGGCAGGAATGGCTGCGCTTTGTTTGGTTTTAATGTGACGCTTGACAAACTTTTAAATCCAATTGTAAATAAAGCGGCCTTAAATCAATGGCCTTCTGGGAAGGTATCGGCTTCTTTCTCTCCCTCCGCCTTGCCCCAGGGTCCTCCTGTCTGCCTGCACCTTTGCTCCCAAGAGTTCCTTCTCCTGGGCTCTTCCCACCCAGGCGATTGCTTTGGCAGCGCTGATGGAGCCCAAGTCAAGTGAACATGGCAGGACTCACCTTGCCTATGGGTGCTCCTTACCAATCAGAAACTGGTGTTCTGCTAGTTCAGTTGGTGCTCTTTCGGTGTTGGGGTTTTTTTTTATCCCCTCTCCTGCATCATCCATCAGTTCTCATAAATTTGGGGTTTAAATGAAACAAATATTGAAAGAATGGCTTATTAAATATTTGGTAAGTCTATATTGCACAAACTAGAAAATATATTTATTTTAAAAAAACAAAACAAAAACAACCAGCCAAACAACAAAACAAAGCACCACAGTATCCCTGGCAGTAGTGAGCACAAACATTCAAATAATTCTGTGCTGTCGTTTTTCATTATGCGTCTCATCAGAGCTTGATTATTGCTGTCATAGTTCTTTGCGGTGAGTGTCTGGGTCCCCACTTCCCTTCTGGAGGGCTTCTAAAGAGAGAGCTGGCTGGGAACACTGTTTGTTGTTATGATTTGGATACAATCCTTTAGTCTGTCTTTGGGCAGTTTTACCTTGCATCGTTACCTAATTAAGGGTTGCCCCGGTTTTGGATAAACCCTGCTTGGTTTACCGTGCTTTGAGCTGCTCTATTTACTGAAGACTTCTATTATTTAAGTTGTTCTGGGGAGGGAGTCAGCTCATTTTTCAGGCCTGTTTGTACTGGAGCACCTGTGTACTCCTGCCTTTTTTTCTTTGAAGGAGGATGGAATTCTTCAGACATGACAATCTGTTGAGAAATCAAACAGTGATTGTTGCCTGTTAGCTCTAAAATAAAATCCCAACAAATAAAAACAAAAAGAATCCCAACGAAAAAGGAACCCTGTGCTTCTGAATCTTTTCTGTTGAAGCTCATGACAACAGCTGGTTTTGGAGTAGTGATGCATCTGACAGGTTGAAAAGATGTCCCCTGCATGAGCTTGGTGTCGTTTAAAAGGTCATGCTTGACCCAGCTCTATTCTTGGGCATCCTGGGAGAAGGCGACCCTGTCTCCTACCACGTTGCTTGAAGCACTGGGAGCAGGTCTGCCTGCAGCTTGGAGAGGATGGGTTGTGTTGCAGGACAGGAGTGAACAGCTCCTGTCCCTCTGTCCCTGCCAGCCTGAGCTGGATGGGACCTGAGCTCCTGCTGATCCTCCAGGTGCAGTGAGGGCAGGAGAGGTTCCTTCCCCATGATGCCCTGCAAAATGGCACCATTCAGACGTGGTGTTGAAAATTGTGTTGATAAACCTGGGCTGATATCTTCTGCATGCAAGCAGTCAGTTGTGGAATAGTTGAAGTGGAAGCCGAAGTTTCTGCTGCAGATGTCTCCAGCCTTTGTACCCTGCCGCATTAGAGTTTTGGGCAGCCATGTAAGATGTTTATGCAAATGAGTCTTATAACATTTTTTTTGGGGGGAAATACACCTGACAAGTTTTTTTTCTTTTCTTTTAATAGTAGCTTTCATCATGGGGGACATGAAGACCCCAGACTTTGATGACCTCTTGGCTGCTTTTGACATCCCGGATCCAACGAGCCTGGATGCCAAGGAGACCATCCCATCGGCTGGGGAGGAGAATGAGAATCACCTGAAGTCATCGGGAATCTGCATAGATGAGAACGTGTCCTTATCCCACTCTTTGCCACCCTCTGATGCGCCTGTTGTGAGTGTGATAGTGAAGAACACGAGTCGCCAAGAGTCTTTTGAAGCAGAAAAAGAGGGAAATCACCTCGGGACTGGTCTGCTCCACAATGGGTTTCGTGGGTCTGATCTGCCATTGGAGGCTCACACTTTAGTGCATAATTATGGCAAATTTGAGTCAACTTTTATTAATGGTGACAGCTCGAGAAGTTACTCTGAGAAACTGGACCAGTCCAAGTCAGAGGCTTTGCCAACGTTTAGTCAGTTCAGCCCAATTTCCAGCCCTGAACCAGAGGATGGATTCAAAGAGAACAGTATAGGTGATAAACCCAAACTTGCCCAAACGCCGTATTTTCCACCACCTTCAATGTATATACCAACTGGAGCTTCAGTACTAGATCATCTTAGAAGGGTACCAGAGCCTGAATTGAGCATGTTTGATCAATATTGCAAAAAGGAACAGAAGATGGAAATCCACTGCCACCCGGAGAACAGGTTGGAAATGAGAAGGAGAGAACAAGACAAAGTAGCAGAGAGGTTTGTGGAATCAAAAGACTTGGTAGATACCAACAACTTTCTGGGAGAAGGCTTGGTGTTTGGAGACCTCCCTCACAACAACTTAGGAGAAAGTAAGGGATCTGTGCCTGAGCCTAACATGTCTTCGTTGGTACCACCTCGCCAGAGGTTAAAGCCAACTCACTCAAAGTTGTCATCCTGCGTGGCGGCGTTAGTAGCCCTTCAGGCCAAAAAGGTTGCGTGTATTCCAAAAGGCGATCAGCCAAATCTTACCAAGGACCCTGGTCCTTTTAAAGACGGGACAAAGGGAAGTCCAAAAATGCCCAAGTCACCAAAGAGCCCCCGAAGCCCCTTAGAGGTGGTGAGGAAAGCCAGCAAGCAGCCTGAGAGTCCTCGAAGTGTGTGCAGTGACAGCAGTGGGAAAGGCTCTCCTTCCATGGCAGCCGGCTCTCCACCAGCTATTCCCAAAGTTAGAATAAAGACTATCAAGACATCCTCTGGTGAAATTAAAAGGACCGTAACTAGAATTTTGCCAGAAAACGATGAGTTGGGCAAATCTTCAGAAGAGTGGCCTTTGGAAACCTCATCTGCCGAAGAGTTTATCAAATCTTTCCCATCCCCTGACACCAGTGCAGTTATGGAAGGTGAGCCTGGCAAAAATTCAACCAAAACTGGGGCTGCTGTGGCTACCCAGCTGTCCAACATAGCGAACCCTTACGCGGATGGTATGAAAACAGATACTGCTGCAAACAGCACATGTGCCGTGTCCTTGTCCCCGCTGCCAAACGGTGGCAGTGGTGCCGTAAAAGTAGGCGTTAAGAGGCAGCAGCAGGGTCCTGCGGCGCAGCCGTCTGGCGCAACCACCTCCAGCCTTCTTCCCAAAGCTGTTCACCTGGCCAATCTCAACTTGGTCCCGCACAGCGTCGCTGCTTCCGTGACTGCAAAATCGTCAGCCCAGAGGCGGAATCAGCCTCAGGTGACGCAGATGTCTGTGCCTCTGGTGCACCAAGTCAAGAAAGCTGCTCCCGTCATTGTGGAGGCGTTTAATAAAGTACTACACAGTGCCAATCCGGTGCCAATTTATACTCCAAACCTTAGCCCTCCGCTTGACACCAGTATTAATTTACCTGCCTCTGGGTATTGTTGCCTGGAATGCGGGGACTCGTTTGCCTTAGAGAAAAGCCTGACTCATCACTATAGCAGACGAAGTGTTCATATTGAAGTCATGTGCACTCAGTGTTCAGCTATGCTACTTTTTTTTAATAAGTGTAGCTTGCTTAAACACGCAAGAGATCATAAGAGCAAAGGATTTATCATGCAGTGTTCTCAGCTGCTAATGAAACCAATTTCCTTAGACCAAATGTTTTCACCTTCTCCTACAAGCTCTTCAGCCTCTCAGGCTCCTCAGACTTTGCACTCACCGTCTCCTTCGTGTAAGCCCAGTGCTGCTTCAGGAGGTGGGGTTGGAATTTCTGCTAATGCTCAGCCAGCCTTACCTCTCTATACGGACCCGTTGAGTATAATCCGGCATGGACTCAAGTGTTTAGAGTGTAACAAGCAGGCGCAGGATTACGTTGCTTTAGCAGCTCATTACCAGAGAACCTCAGAAGATAATGAGAAACTGGTAAGTCATCATCTTAATGTTATTAGTTAAATCTCTCAGCATTTAAAGAGAATGTCCTCTGGCGTGGGGGAAAATAGGCATTGCGGTGGCAGATGAGCCGCTTTGCCTAAAAAAAGTCCTTTTAGGGAGGATTTCGGATACACATGAGCCTAGACATATGCACATGGAAAGACGTTTCATGTTCCTTCTTTGCCCTCTTTTTACCCTTTGCCAGCAAAAAGGGGGTAGTAAGGAGGCTATGGAGATCCTTGATCATCAAAGGAAGGTGCTGGAGACCAAAGATCACTCAGATGAGGTGTGCAAGAGTGCTGTAGGGGGGGACCACTGGAACATTAACTGAAACAGGTTTTCATGCTGTAAGTGTGGCTGGAGGAGGTCTGACAGAATTTAATTTTACTTTTCCTAGAACTTGTGCCAGAATCTTCTGTGTAGCATTTCGAACATCAGGTGCTGCTTTTACTTGGTAAAGTGTATAATGGGAAAGGATTGGCTGAGGCGAGCAGTGTGGCGGGTGGGGTGGTGTTTTGCCAATGACCAGGCCCAACAAAAATGGTAGCACCAGCAGGAAGAGAATCCAATACACAGACTGTATTGTAGACAAGAAGGACGTTGCATGAATGATCGCTGGGGGTACAAACAGATCAATCAGCTGGTACATAACTGACGCCACCCCCAACAATCCCACAAAGATGGGACTCGGCCCACAACAGGTGGTACAAACAGTGAGCCGAGGTTTCCCACAGTTGGCATGGGAAACAGCCAGACCAGCCAGTTAAATACATAAGAAGAAGGTGCCCACATGGCAACTCTCACCCGATCAGCCCGCGTTCACAAAGGTCTAAACGGACTGGGGCCCAGCTCCAGGGAGAGTCAGGAGGTCTGCCCTGAACCAGGAAGCTCTGGGGAGTGCACTCCACAGACAGACACTCCTGACTCCCTGCAGGTGGTCCCAGCTTTTATCCCCAAGCAGACACCTGACCTTTGTCAACTCAATGCGGGACCCCTGGGGCTCATTTCCCTTCTGGCTCTCCCTGCAGGGCCGGCCGCCCCCTGAGGGGAAGCTATAAGGCAAACTCACCACCTCGTTATGAAGGGCTGTGGGAATCACCCATATGTCAACCTTAATTTGGGGGCTCAGGGTTCAAACCTCAGCATTTCAGGTGGAAAGCTGGTTTTGGCTCTTTTTGCCCTTTTGGGTGGGAGAGGGATGAGTTAGTGGGTTTCAGTAGGAGGTCTCAAAGAGCCTTGGTAGTGAATTCATGCCTTGCTCCAGTGCTGCTCTGCTTGGGTCTCCACCACCTTTGTGGTGCACCTCCCTCGTAGGTGCAGATGGGGGGGTCTGCATCCCCATTGGAACTTAGGTTTAGGTTGGCTTAGGTCTCTACTGATGAAGAGAAGGTGATGCTCTTTGTTGGGTACCAAGAATGTGTGCTTTGTGTATTTATTTATTTTTTTTTTAATTTTAGAATCATAGAATTGTTTTGACTGGAAAAGGCCTTTCAGATAGAGTCCAGCTGTTAACCCAGTGCTGCCAGGGCACCACTAAACCATGTCTCTCAACACCACACCTGCATGTCTTTTAAATATCTCCAGGGATGGTGACTCCCATCTCCCTGGACAGCCTGTTCCAGGGCTTGGAAACCCTTTTGGTGAAGAAGTCTTTCCTAATGTCCAACCTAAACCTCCCCTGGCACAGCTTGAGGCCATTTCCTCATGTCCTGTTGCTTGTTCCTTGGGAGAAGAGACAGACCCACACCTGGCTCCAGCCTCCTTTCAGGGAGTCCTAGAGGGTTTGGGGAAGATAAGATCTATTTAAGTATAAACCACCTGAGGCTGAACAAGAGCTTTCTCCTTATCTCTTTAGATGAGGTGTAAGATTTCCACATTGGTCTGTCTGCCTGCAGAGCTGGCAGGCTCCCAGTACAGTCTCCTCCTCAAGCTCCACAAACAAGGAGACATCCATGGAGATGACCACCAGTACCTTCTGTAGTCATTGTAGTACCTGCATGCTCCAGAGCTTCCCTTTCCTTGTTCAGTGGCTTGCAGGAGTATTGAGGTCACTGTGGTCCCATTGAGATGCTTTGTTATCTTTCTGTTAAATTAATCAGTAGCCAAAAAAATAGATTATGGCTGGAATAGTTTTTATGTCATGAAAAATAGTGAGGCCAGAAGGGATTGGTGCGGCCGTTTAATTGGGTTTCTAGCCCGAGGCAGACCACCGAGCACTGTGCTCTGTCAACACTGTAACTTATTTTTCAGCGATAATGCATTTTCAGGAAATGTCAGCTGTCTGGAATTAAAACCTACAGGTGAAAGGATACAGAGAGTGCTCCAAAATGAGGTAAAATGTTAATCGGTTGCATTAAAAATGTATTTTCCTATTTTTGTTGTGGGATTATCAAATCAAGACCCCTGTACGGAGAAGAAGGAATGTCTGATAGTAAGTAATTTTAGCTTAATCAAATAATTTATTCTGTAACTTAACTAAGAAAAGAGTTTAATCCTCTCACTTCAAGTTAGGTCTGGTAGACATGAGGTTATTTTTGTGATTTTTTTTTTAATAGAAGTATTAAAAAGACGGGAAGAAGAGGCAGTGATGGTAGAGCTCGTAAAGCCATCTTCTCCCCATTTGATCTTCCTATGCTTATACTCAACGGGATGCATGCATTGCTCTGGGAGTCCTTTTCCACTGTATATGCTGTCCTCCAGAATGCCTGGTGGAGCTCCGTGCTGTTCCCACAACATCTGTTTTGACAAAGCTATTACATCTCTAAAGGAAATAAGAGGTTGTGCCCATATGCCTGTAATTGCGCACCTCCAGATTTAGCAGTAGCTAATGGAAGCCATACCCCTGCCTTCTAGCAGTACTCAGTGTGTTTAGTGTCACTGGGCTGGAGGCAAAAGAATGGGTGAAATTGGGTGGTCTTGTAGAGGTCCCTGCAGTAGGTGGGTACTACGCTTCCCTGAGCAGTCCAAGGGAGATGTGGACTGCTTTGACATCCCGTGTCTCACTTGGGTACCATCCTGCACAGTTCCCATCAGTAATGAGGCATCAGAAGCTGAAGGCTTTGCATAACGGGGGTGTTAATGAACGTAAGTGAGGCAGGTCTTAAACATGTGTGAGAAGGGCTTTGGTAACATGCCTGGAGTATGCATCATAAGCTCCTGAAATAGGAAAACATGCTGTTGATCCCATTCTGAGAAGATGCTGTGGATGTCCCTGACTCTGAATTAATGAAGCTAGTTTCTTGGGTTTCTATTCTTTATTTTGGTCAGAAAAAAAGAGAAATGTTGGTAGGAGATGGAGATAATCAAGTGACCTGATTTCAGAGACACTTTCTGAGGTGGCAGAAGTTTGGCAGAAACTCTGGTTTCCACCTCCAGAGCTGTACCAGGTCGCTTGTTTCTTGGGGCAGTGGTAGAAATCGCATTGCTGAGGAGGCCATCGATGTCACACCTGTATTCAACTAACAGGTGCCCTCAGTGGTGGGTCAGAATCACTGTGTCCACATGGCAGAAGGTATCCTAGTACTTCTAATTAAAAAAAACAAAACCAAAGCCAAAACAACCCAGTACACGATTGGTTGTCTTATACTGGTGCTTGACTGTGACTCTTCAGATGTCTGGTACCTGAGTGTCCTGAAACACAGGATTCTTGGGAAGGATAGATGGACAAATAAGGCAATGAACATCTTTGGCTGAAGACAAAGGGTAAAAGTGATTTATCTGATGTGCCTGGATTTGTACTAGAAGGTGAAGACCTATGGGACATAAGCTAGGTGGATTTTTGATGATGTTCTTAGCGACTCTTCTGTTAAAGGATGACAGATTTTGGTTATTGGATGTAACATGCACTCCTAATGTAACCATAACTTGATAAAATGAGCAGACTTTGAAGTGCTCAGCTGTAGTACTTGTAACTCAAAAACCTTTTTAGATCTGGTATGGAATGGATATGACACCTAGTTAAGAAGGAAAGTTGATCCAACAGGGTTGATGAAGAAATAAAATGGCAGGAATAAAATTTAATTTTCAACATGGTGTTTTTCAGTTTTCCAGAAGCTGAAGGATGAGCAAGCTGCAGTAAGAGGCAGGAATTATTGGATTGGAGAGGTGGAGCAGCCTACGATGGCTCTGCTCCATGAGAAAACTTATCCTGTGCTGATACTTAAGGCTTCTCACTTTAATTGAAATTTCTTACTGTGACTTTGTGAATTACTTTGACATCTTCATGTTTCTTGTAGCTGTTTAAAAGGTGATTGTTGAGTTTTCTCCTTGTTCTCGTTGGTGGCATGGGAAATACTTGGTCATTTGTTTCGGAGTGGCCTTGGGTGAAGCCCATGGGAATGGAACAGGTAACAGGTAAATGACTTTCCTGTGTGTGGCCAGAATACAAGTGACATGTCTGGGTCACAGTTGTTTTGGAGGAAGGAAAAAAGATATGGACGTGGTGTGACAGATGTGGACAAGTGAGAGGAAGAGAGGGGGTGATGTTGTGGTTGGGAAGGTGGAGTGGAAAGACCTTTAGAAAAGTGACTGAGAGCTTCACCTTAATATTAACTTTTAAAACTGTTGTGACACCATTCTAGAGCAAGATTTTGGCGGGGGACAAAAAAAGGATAATTAAATAGGTGTAGTTTATGCCAAATTAATCTGATATACACCTTTTCTAAGTTATTTTTTGAGTAAAGAAATGAGGTTATTCTGATCCCCTTGATGTTTTGAGATGGTTGTTAGAGTGCTATGTGTGCAACGGCTCTACCAAAGAAGTTGAGTTATGAGGTTGGAGCAGACACAGATTGAAATAAGGGAGGTAACTGCAACTAGGAGGGGTTGTTTTTAAGACCCCCTCAGGGATGGCGTTAGGATACCTCTTGTTAATGTTTGTAGAAGGACCTTGGAGGATGAATGTGTAGATAAAATTTGCTGAACCAACAGCAAGAAATCATGGAAACTGGGAATGTTTTACAGGAGGACCTAAATGATCTGGAAGACCAAGT